CAAAAGAGACCTCTTTGACGCCACGTTCGCATCACCTTAATGTCTATTAAATCAAGGGCAACTTTTTACCAAGACTGAATTATTCTTCTGCTCGACTAAGAACGGAAGTAACCGCGAGAAAATAGGAGAAGTCTAGAGGCCAAACGGAGAGATTTAATATTTGCCCTCCCGTGTTCATTTTCGAAGATCCGCCTTTCATAACCCCGGGATATTGGATCTCGCTCGATGCCAGGTTTCCGATTTCTATTTCGAGTTATCAGGGAGGGGGGGGGGGGGGAAGAGTGATTTCGAAACACCCTTAAATCCTGCCCCGATGTTCCTGACGTAACGCCGCGCCCCTTATGAGTGATGCGATCCCAGTTTCCACGGGGTGCAAGAACCCTGGAAACTTACCCCTAGGATGCTGCACCCTCTCCCCCCTCGATATCAGGAACCCTAGGGCTTAACGAAGCTCCGTTCGCTAATCGTTATTAGTTAAATTAGTATACCGGCGAGGTAAACGCGCTGCTCGAAATAAGCGGGAGGATCTACGGGGTGCTCGGGTGCATCCCCTAAGTGCACTATTCCCGAAATTAGGCAGTTGCCAAGAATCGATTCCACCCGAGTCGAAATTTTAGCCCTCTTTAAGCCTGCATAGCCCAAGTTAGACCTCTCTTGGTCCTGTTTCACTCTCTCGAGTCCTCCATTCAACCCTCTACGCGCCACTTTATTCGAATTGACTCGTACTTTAGGCCTACATGTAGAAGAATCGGAAATATCTGCCACTTTTAAGTTGATATGAAAGTGGTATTGTGAAGGTTTTCTCCTAACTGGATGTACCGAATCATTTCAAACCTTACCACATGAACATGGAGACTCTAAGACAGGATCTAATACCCAAGAAATTAAATTCTTATACCAAACTGTAAACGGATTTAAGCAAAAAAATTCTAGTTTTATGGGTGTCAGGACCTTCCTTAAGGACTCCATATTCACGTTGTAAAGTTTGAAACGATTCGGCATACCCAGCTCGGAGAAAAGCTTCACAAACGAAGATCTCTTTGACGCCACTTTCATACCACCTTAAGGTCTGAAGTAGGAATGTCCGTGAAGTTGGCTTCTACTTTATCGAAAATGAAAAAATGCTTTTCTTTTTCGGTACCAAATTGTACTCACTTTTTACCGTGTTGTACCGTCGAAACAATTATCCTAACTTCAATAGTTAATTAACCAATTTAAAAGAATACTAAAGTAGGACCTTGATGAAAGTATATCGTGTCAAAACACATTTAAGGCCGTAATTACAGGACCTAAGTAGGATTGCAATTTCGACTCAGACAGGCAGCTGGTGCAGGGGTAAGATCGATCTTGAGGATTCTGCAGAAATGAATTTTAGGGGGGGGGGGGATGCGGTATTGTCGTTTGGTAGGAGGGGGGCGCTCGAACCCCATTCGGGAGCGGCGAGGCGAATTGGCGAACGGAAACATCGTTAAAATATATCTATGTGTATATGTACGCCTATATGTACATGGACATGTACATTATTTCCGTTAGACGGCGGCTAGCAACCGCGTCGCCACAATTACAATACTTTAATTTTATGCCGGAAGTTAAGCCTCCCCTTAAGAGTCCCAAAAGTGGTTACCGGCATTCCGCCCCTTTCATTCCGCCATTCCTCTCCGCCCGGTTTTCGCGGGCCCTCCACCTTCTGTCTCGACCTCAAACTCTTTCGACCGAAGCTGCCGCATTCATGGGGAGAACCTTCGGTCGACGCCGAGGAATCCTCCCCGAGACTAAGGACCGACCGGACGGGGGTGTCGAGTAATTATTTTAATTTGTTTAGAGGAGCGTCGCGACGTCTCGTCGGGGATGAAGAGTAAATGAGACCTTGAGGAGGCCCGAGGGTGTCGAACCCAGAAATCCTTCACCCCCTTCGATCTTGTTTGTATTGATAAGGAAATTCCTAGCGTGAAATATCGCGCTAATAAATTTATTCCCTGGTGAATAATTGCCATCATTTTTCAACTGAAACAAGATATTTATCCCAAAAGTGAAATTTCGTGAGTTTCAGGACTATCGTCAGGACCTCCATGATCACACGTTAAAGATTCAAATTATTCCGTGCATCTGGTTTTGAGCAATGTTTTATCTATATTTTGACGTTTTGATATATGTGTATGTAATAGTACGACCCTTTCATATCGTCTTAAGGGACTTAGAATTGCTCAGCCCAAGGGATGCCGAGTAATTATTTTAATTTATTTAGAGAGGACGCGACGTTCCCTGCCGGATCGGGAGTGAATGGAGCCTTGAAGGATTCTCCTGAAGAAAACGGTGGAGTACAGGAAGTTTCGGCCGATCCCGGGATCCAATCACTTTTCTCCAACATCCAATTCTGTTAATGCCGGGAACTGTCAGTCGGGTGCGGCAGGTATGCCTTGGCGTGATTTAGATCTCTCCCTATCCCGAGGGAGAGAGGCTCTCCTGTCCTTTCACGAGACTCTCCGACACCGTGTTGGAGGCCTTCGTCGTGTGTTCGTGGACTGAAAACCCAATCGGTGGCCCGCGGGGGCATCCTGCCAATAATCTCGCGCGTGTAGCCGCGTCTTCGGGACCCTGGTCCAGGATCTCCCATTGGATTCCGCTCACGAAGCGATCGGGAAACTTCCCGGCCGGGGAGGAACGAATCTCGAGCATTTCGGGAGCCCTGGACCACTCCGAACGTGTCCATGCTGGACCTGGATCGTCCGGAACAAGGGAAGGGGTGATGGCCTGGGAACTGCACAATTGCACGGTTGCACTTGTCTTCGACCACGTCGGATAGGTCCAGGTAATCCCTGGAAATTAGTGGTCGAAGTAGATTACTGATTTTTTCGAAAATTTTTGGTAACCTGAAAATTTGGGAAGTAAATTACCGAATTATTCCGAGAAATTTTCATGTGTTCTTCGAAATCTGGTAATTTGGCAGGTAACTTATTGAATATTTTCGAGAGATTTTGAAAAATTTTCACTGGGAACTGCACAATTGCACGGTTGCACTTGTCTTCGACCACGTCGGATAGGTCCAGGTAATCCCTGGAAATTAGTGGTTGAAGTAGATTACTGATTTTTTCGAGAAATCATCGAGAATGCTTGGAAGCCTGGACATATTTTCGGTTGTCAATATTTATTGTTGACCGACGTAATAACGATAAAATACCTTATTGTGTACGTAAGAAATTCACAATTCACTAGCGCGTGAGCATTTTTCCGTTTCTTTTATGGTACAGGTAGTAAAGAGCCTTTGTCGCGTACATAACCTGCAGATAACTGCAGAAAAATCGAACGTACTTGGCGGAGATTTCCCGGCATACCGGGATATCTCGCGGCGAGTCCCGATAGGGTTAATATCCGGAAATTCCTGAGAGAAATATCTGTCCTCCCGTCTTCGACAGTTTCCCGGAGGGAACGGCTATATTGGCGGGATCCTCGGTCCATTTTCCCGACACAAAGGAAATTTTCACTGGCGACGCGTTCTCCCACGGTGCCCCATTCCCCCGCGATTTCCCCGATACTCCGTCACAGTTTCCCCCTCGAATTTTGCGATATAACTCGAGGTCGCATATCGGTACAAAAATGGCAGCATACAATCGGCAACTTCCAACCCGACGAAACTCCCCCGCAAATATTTCCCGCCAATGGAAATCCAGTCCCGTCGAAATTTACTCTTCAAGTAGCTTAATAGAATTTCCAGCCGGAGAATGTCCGCTCGGTTTGGAAATATTCCCCGGGATTCGCGACGGCCGAGCCCTGGAATTCACTGCACAAAGGTCGCCGGTTTTATTCGGGGTGCACTGCATCATTGATACATCCAGATTGAAACGGATTGAAAAGTTTCGGCCGATGCTCTTCCCCGTGTATTGGCTATAAAAACCGTATCGAGCGGCGCTCGCGTCGCTGTCAGTCGGGGCTGCACATTTTTTCACTTTTTCCTTTTTTTAATGGAATCCCTCCCCCTACCCGCCCCTCCGTCAATTCATTAGGGGGAACAATGCCGCGACATCGGAGGCAAAAATAATTCCACCGACCCGTGGGTCGCTTTAAGTGCATTCTTTCCCTTCGTCAAAGGGAGCGCCGGCACGCGCAATCTTTTCAGCCGAAGTTATGAATTGTGATAAAAGTGATGCCGCTCGCGGTGAAAAAAAAAAAAACAGAAAAAGAAAAAGCGGGGAGAAAAGAAATTCGTATCTCAGGTGGAGAGCTTTTACAGACTCGTCGGAGGGTTCGTCCCGTGTCTCTAAACGGGAGTTGTTAAACTATTCTGGCTGCGTGCTTGCGAAGAATCGTCCCTCCCCTCTTGGGGTGCCTGTTGTACGCCGAAAGTGTCAAGACTGCATTCTAGGGGAAAATGGCGTTTTTTGTTTTTACGACCCTTTTGTAAAGAGAACGTTGACACATGCTCTGACGGAAAAAATTCATCGAACCGAAGAGATATTTCTTTGAATTGTCCCAAAGAAATACTCAAGCTCAGATTAATTGTCGCAATTCTGAAGGAACGTTGCATTCAATTAATTCGATTCGAAATTATTCTTTGGATTAGCCAAATATTACATCGCTACTGTTTTAAGAAATATTTCTTTGGCTTCGTGAGTTCTTTTTTCTCAGAACGAAGCAAAATCGATGGAAATTTACTGATACTTTTATATACCTCACATGTGAAGTTTCACATTGTAAAACGTAAAATGGGAAAACTACAGATCAGAGAATGTATAAATAACGCGTGACATCGTATATTTACCGTATTAACGTATTTTTACTTAAATTTAATGTAATATTACGTGATATTTTTTTTTCGCTTGGCGTCTAAGAGGTCTCAAAGAGGCAATGCAATTTTACTGCAATTTATCGTGGTATCGAATTGGCCAATTGAAAAGTGTAATTTTATGCGGCGATTTTCATCCGTGTTGGGATTAAATTCTGATCATTTTTGGTGTTCATTTTTTCTAGGGTAACGTTAATAGATTCACTTTTTATCGTTTCAGATACGACGCCCGGTACCGACAGCCTGGTGTTCAGATCCTCGGTACCAGGGCGATCTTCCACCTGGGTAAACCTGCCGAGCTCTGGATCCAAGACACCCACCAGAGCGACGAGGGGGTGTACAGGTGCAGGGTGGACTTTCGTAACTCGCCCACCAGGAATTACAAGGTCAACTTTACCGTCATATGTGAGTACCAAGTTTCCTCCGCGCCGAGTCGAGCTCCAAAGTCGAGAACTCGGGTCGATAAGTCGGGATACAACCAAAGTGAGGCCTAATAAATCACTTTATGAATTATTAATCCCGATGAAATATTAAACAATAAGAGCAGAGATGCGCTAAACCGAAACTGGACTTCTACAAGACAAGGGAAACATTCTTTCATGGGAATTTATGCAAGAGCTTTTATTTTCCTCCCTCAAGGATCGCTCGACTCACCAGGTAAAATTTTCCACGTTTTTCTCTCGCAACTGGACACTGAAAATTCCCTGGAAAATCCAGGAGCGTTCCCTAGGTCGAGGGAAGACAGTATTCATATCTGGTTAGAGCGCAACGAGTACACGAAGGCTGGTAGATATTGTTTCCGCGAAAGCTCGGGCCTTTTAGCACAGGCGTTCCCGATTTGATTTTCCCGGCGTCCACCCTGTGACCGAATTAAGTGACGCAGTCAGTTTTCCTACTAAAGCCCCAAGAATTCGCGATATTCTCCGCCGAATTTTCATCTTTCAGGAAGCTATAGATGGGATGGGGATGAGCTATAAGCTCGACGTCAGGATTTAGTCAAGGGGAAATGGAAAATCATTCACGGGGACGAAATAACGTTTCTTTTTTCTATTACTGTTTACGAAGGTCGGAAGGGACGTCGAAGGACATCCGTTTATCCCCAATTTAGTGGTAATATCCTTTGGCTTGGTTCCTGGGGTAACAGGGCTGGGGGGAGGGGTTCACCAGGAAAGCTCGTTCCTTTCGGCGCAGCGTTTCCGGGCCAATTTATCCAGCACCCACCCCTTGACCGAATTAAGGTCCAAACTCGCTTCCGGTCGACGTCCCTCGGGAATTCGCGACACATCCCTCCTCTCTGGATGAGCTTGCGAAGCAGCGTCAGAATCGAAGCGAAACTTAACCGAGGAGAAAGTAATTCATCGGGGTGGTCTTCGGGAACGAGCGGAGATAGTGGCCGCGCTTAACGGGCCGTAAAGCTCCGGATAATGGCGCCTGGGGGGGTCCTGAGGGAGGGGGGTGGGGGGTTTAGAATTTGACCGGGGTGATCGCGGATTTCTCGAGATCCGGCGGAGAAAGAACGAGGATATGTACGTGATTAATGGAGATATTTCGCTATTTACTGAATAACTTTAACCCTTCCAATAATCTAGAGGGGGCGATTTGATTAGGGGTGGGTTCAAAATTTGCCCGGGGTCATCACGGATTTCTCGAGATCCGGCGAAGAAAATAACATGGAAACGCGATTAACAGGGAAATTGAGTGATTTCATGAAACATAACCTTAACTCATTCGACACTGTAGGGGAGGTGATCCGACTAGGGGTAGATTTAAAATTCGACCTGTGCGATTGCGGATTCCGCGAAATCCGTCCATGAATGAACTATCGACGATTCACGGGGGAATTAAACAATGTAATGAATTCAATGAATTTGATGAATTGACCTCCACCTCTTTGCCGGTCCGAGGGGGCCGCCACTAGGGGATGAAGAGCTCCCTCGCCAGCTTCAAAAGATCCAATGCCGGACGAATATTGCCCGGCGAGTCCTCACCGAAGCTTTTGCCTCGTCCTCGACTTTATTAGAACCGATCGAGCGTACGACCGGCGATCGGCCGAGAGGGTGTCCTCCCAAGACGTGCAAGCTCCCTTGGAAATAAGGTCGCAAGCTCAGAGAGGGAGGACCCCCTCTCCGTTCCGGACCTCAGAAAAGTCGGCGCGGATCCTTCGAGGAGAGATTCTCTAGGGAGTATCGATCATCCCGCAACCCCCTCCCATCTTGACTCAAGACCGGCAGGTTTCCCAGGCTTCCCAGGGATGGTAAAATGTTCTCTTGTCGTAATTTAACGGGCCGTGTCGCCCCGATCGGGAAACTCTGGTCGTGGTCTCCCCGGATGGCGGGGATGACTAACGACCCTTATGGAAAATTCAAATCCGGCTGATCTCGTTATTTTCGGAACGCCCTCTGGAAGAAAGGGGGTCGAGAGAGATTTTTACTACCCCCGTGAAGCGGTGCTCCCTAATTTCATGACGAGCTTCCGCTCGTGACGGATTATCTACTCATTGGCTCCATCCTCCCTGTAATTAGGTTCCGAGGGGATCCAATCATCCGATCGTGTAACTCGTGATCGAGTTTACGTGTATATATATACATTGTTTTTTTCAAAGTATTTACCTCTCTAAAGTGAGATTTGGAGATTTGCAGTCAAATAATAATGTATCGTGATATGATATAATATAATACACAGCACCGAAACGTTCTACTTCGATCTCGCCCAGGTACTCCATGCACTTTGGAAGTGCACTTTAAAAAATGCATGCTCTGCTTGCGGAAATGCCTTTTCGGGGGAAACCTCGTGGGGGTTGGAAAGGACGCCCGTATGGAAAATATAAAAGATTTCCAACTAATTCGCGAACGTGTAGCGAGGAGAAATTTTGAGGCTAAGGGAATGCATCAACAAGGGTGCCGCGAGACGTGCATTCGTGTCGTGAGGGGTCTTCTGGGGGAGGGGGGTGCAGGCCATAGTTCTTCGTTGGGGGCGAAAAATTCGGTCGTTTCGGGGAGGTCTGCGAAAAGGAGGGCGCCCGAAATTCCGGAAGTCGTCCCCCTTTCTGCCGTCTCCGAGGGTAATTTCGCGAAACTCAGCCCCGAACCACGGGGGGTGAGTTTGTGAGGGCGGCGGAATAATATCCACGAGGGGAGGCTCGTATTTCTTGGTTAACCGATCTCCTGGAATATGCAAACTGTCCCCTCTGCCCCTGGCTCGTGGGGCGTGGATGCACCCTTGCAGAAGCGACCCCTAGAGTCGGTCGGTTCCATCCCCAAAATTTCCCCATGAATTCTAGCCCCCTTACCCCATAATCCGACGACTTTGGCGGTGTCGTGCGAGAAACTCGGATGAGCCTTTTCGTTCGCTCCTCGTTCTGCCACCCCTTCTAGGGGGGTGTAAGGTCGCACAAGCACACCTACTTCGAGACGAAGTGTCTCCCCTGAAGAGCCGAACCAATCTGGAAACTTTGAAATGACAAGTCGCATGACTTCTCTTACCCCTTGGAGGAATCTCGGTCGCCTCTACTTCACCCTGAGCGAGAAAATTTACCTTCTAGGCGAAATTAATTACTAAGAAAATATTCCTTCGAATAGTACCAAAGAAATATTTCGTTAATTCAAAGAATGAACTTCACTCAAATACACTCAAACAAATTGTCATCATCTCGAAGTAATGTTGCATCCAATTTATTCGAGTTTATTTGAGTCAAATAATTATTCTTTGAATTAACAAAATATTTCATAGGTAATATGAATTTTTCTCTCAGTGTACCGTTCTTTTTTTAATAAAGTCTTGCATTAGACGTAGATGGGCGAATTTTTTACCACGCGTTAACGAAAGTCGAAGTTAAGGGTGAGTTCACGTTCCCACGCGATCTTCGAGTCAAAGGGGTGGGATTAATGCAGAATCGCATCCCCGACGAAATATTCGCATTCCCCTGTTTTGCCAACATGTCACCGAAGCTCGCCTCGAGAGCATCCCCCGAAGTTTCGCAAGTAGGACCGCGAGTCAGGAGGGTGCATCCTCAAAAGTCACCCCTAGGGGTGAATCTCCATTCTCGGGTGACCCCAAAATCGGCAGAGCTCGACTTACGACGAAGGCCTTCCACAATGTCGCCACCGGATACGAATTCCAACTTCTGCACCCCCTTTCTCCCCTCGAGGGGGGTTTTCGCGAATTCATCGAAAGTCGCTCCCACGACCGGAAGTCCGACCGCGTCCACCCTTAGTGGCCGACCAGATTGATGGGGCTCCACTTGGCGGAATGGAAACGACTGAAGAAAGTTGGTCCCTTTGTCATCCCTTAGGTCTGATCTCGCCACTCAGGGGGATGCTGGACATCGTCCCCTCCCCCCAGTCTTATTCGCAGGGGGTGGGCGCGAAGTCTCATTCGGGGTTGATGTCGCGTCCGAACGGAAAAAAGTCGTGAATCAGCCGAAACGGCCGTCGATGATGAATTGGAGAATCGATCGGCAAAAACCTTTTTTTCTGACACGGCGGTTCGGCAATTTTCCCTCCCTGGACAATTTCGTGATTCCATGGCTCTATGGGGTGCGAAATCGGCGCCGGATAAACAGAAAAGGGTGCTTTGCAATGCGAGGTTCATTTTTTTTTTTGGGATTAGAGTTCATGGTTCCACTCTGCTCTAAAACCACCCCAATTATATGTAGTCCGACTTTTCACGAGGAAAAGATCTTCCGAAGGGTTGTTCATCCAGGAAACCATGGACTTTTAATGCTCAAATTCACGTGTAAATTAGCTGTAAATCGCAAAGATAAATCACTGAAATGTTCTCACAATTTTATGGCCAATCGTCAATTGTTGCCAAATCACATTGCTGTTGATCATATGCAGTCAATGGGAATCGGTCCTCAAAGAAGAAGATAGTTTTCACAGATTTTTTAATGGATGGCTCCTTGTAGCAATTACTGCGACCAAAGCGGCAACATTATTACTTAAAATTTCCTTCATCCAGAATGTTTACAAATCCAATATGGCGAGACTTGGGTTTAGATTTCTATCCCTCCTTCTGATATTAACTTAAAATTTAGCAAAACTTGAAAATTTAAAGTGAAAGTGGATCCCTATCTCGAAGGTGGCTTTAGATTCAAGGAGCGCCATTTTGAGAGTCTGGAAGAGTCGTTTAGATTTTAACCCCTTCAGGGGAAAGGCATCTTATCGGTCAATTGCCGTCCCTCGGCACTCAAGATTACAATCTCCGATAAAAATATCGAAGAAACCGGGGCTATCGGTGTAACGAAAAATTTATGTCGGCGGACATTACGGGAAAAAATGGGACTTTTACGGCCTGGATAAGCTCCAGTCTTCCCTCGTCCTTCGCCCCGAGGGTGGTTCCATCTCTCCGTTTGAAAATTTCACTGACAATTTGGCTCGATGGGACGAGGGGGAATCCGACTTTCG